GGAGGGAGGGAGGGAGGGAGGGAGGGAGGGAGGGAAAGGAAAAGAAGGAAAGAAAGAGAGAAAGAAAGAAAGAAAGAAAGAAAGAAAGAAAGAAAGAAAGAAAGAAAGAAAGAAAGAAAGAAAGAAAACAGTTAAATTTCAACTTAAAGTAGACCTCAAGCATTCTGTTACTTGTTTGACAGGCTGCCTCCTACTTAAGTTTCTCACTGAAAACTCTGGGAAAAGAAAGTTTCTGAATTATGTTTCACCGTTTTCCTTCACATTTTCCGCGATTCAGTACAAATTGCGTACATTTTTACAATACAATTGCTGCTGAAAACTACTGTTCTTGTTGTCTGTGTGGTTTGCTGTGTATGATGACTTACCTTCATTGCCAAGGTAAATTATTACTTCATTTTTTGACCAACAATACTAATAACAGATCTAATCCCAAAATTTAGAATCAAAATCATTTTATACTCTTAATCCTCAAATATATATATACACACATACATATAATATAATATATATCTGTATGTCAGCGGCTGGCAGGGAAGGCAGTCTCAGAACCACCTCCTGCCACAGCACATGGAGACTGCTTGCTCTCATCGTTGTGGACCAGGACAGATAGGAAAAGGACAGTCAATACAAGGCTGGCACTCCCCTTTCCACTTTCAGTCATCCCAACACCTCAGCCCGTCACACCCCACCATCCTCATTCAGGCTAGGCCTCCCTCCCAGTGAACCCTGCCTGAGCACACTCCCGACCTGGCGAACCCTGTGGAGCATGCTCCCACAAACACCTAGAGGTCTGCTTCAGAGTGCCTTGGGCATGTCACAATCCAACAAGTTGACAAAACTAACCATTAAAATAACCATGTATTCTTGATATTTAAAAAATATACAAGCAGTTTACATAACTGGGATGTATTTCTTGTATTGCACTGATTTTCCAAACTAGGGGAAAGTACCTTTCTCCTTTAATAACTTTTTATGTGCTAAGAATTCTGAACTTTTCCCCAACACAATGCTAGATGAATTTATTATTATAAGTAAAACTGATAAATGTCTTTGGAATGATTAGGAAATGTAACACCTATCAAGTCCAAAAGTCTCACGTTTCACACTATTCCTGTTTGTCTTTGGAGGGAAAGTCTGAGTGTGAATGACCATCATCATCATCAAGTCTGTGAATGTATTTTGATCGTCCATTCGTATGCAACTGTGACTTCTCACAGCCACAAGGAACAGTCAGCCTTACCTGGTCCATCATCGATTTTTTCCACGCACCGAGGAGCTGTACTCAGGAAGGAGGAATGTTTCTTTCTAGCCACTGAAGTGCGAGGTGGCATGTACTTATGTTTAACTTGGGACTTATCATATGATTCCTGAACATCATAGCTGCCAGGAGCTGGTATGAACTAGAAAAAAATGTAAAAGATATGTATAAGTGTAATGTATCTGAAAGATATTCAAATACATATTGGGTAAATGTTTACACTTGGAAAAGCACTGGTTAAAAACATACAGAAATGTCTTTAATTAATCATTAAAAACAGAGAATGTTAATGTAGATTCTACCAAATCTATCTTTATAATACAAGTATAATTCATTATCCAATATTAAGGTAAACAGAATCATGAAATGTAAGTTCAAAATACTTTAAAGAGTAGGCCCCTGACCTTAGTCAAATGCTCATATTCAACTTTAATAAAGAGCGCTGAATTCCACACAGGACTCCAAACAATGAGCAAGTGTTTCCATCAGCGGCAAAGCTGTCTCTGCCTTACCATTCTGAACTAGCATACTTGACTTGTTCTACAAAATGAGGTTGCTTCTTTCATTTTTAATAAGTTCCAATTAAGTCAGAAAGCTTCTGCTTTCATCACTTACTGCTTTTCATATGGTATGCAGTTACATTTGCATTTTAATCAACATTAACCACATATTAATTTTAACAGTAATTCTGAACTACAATACAGATGTCATGTACTAGGTGCATAATTAATGCCTTAAAAGTATTATCTAATTATCTCAATTAAAACCTTAAAAAAATTCTGCACAAATTACTTTGCATACTATATTATTTTGAAATCTATTCACTTATCTTATGCATGGAAAACTAAAACATTTTGGGGCTGGAGAGACAGCTCAGTGGTTAGGAGCAACAGAACCTCTGCCAGAGGGTCCAAGACTGAGTCCCAGCATCCACATGGGGGCTCACAACCATCTATGACTCTAGTTCCTGGAGATCCTACACTCTTTTCTGGCCTTCCTGGGCAGCAAGCATACATGTGGTGCATACATACACATATAAGCAAATATCCATACACATAAAAAATAATGTAATTATATATAATATTAATTAAATATTAATTAATTAAATATATAAAAGAATGTAAGTTATTCTAATACTTAGTGTCCAGAATGAGTCGACTCCCATGGCAGGAAAAAGGTACAATGCAGATAAGAACATCCTGTCTCCCCTGATTATTTGTACTGCACAGAAGGCAGGGAAGAAACATGAAGAATGGACATATGGACATTCTTCAGGTCTTTCATTTTTGTCCTGTCTCCAGTTTCTTAGTGCCACTAATATTGTTGTGATAAAGTACCTTGACAAAACATGGTATTTTATCTTTAAGGGAGAATGAGTTTATCCAGCTTACAGTTCCAGGTAACTGTTGTCATTCCTGAGAAGTCCCTGGGAAAACTTGAGGCAACTAGTTACATCCACAGTGAAGAAGAGACAGAAGAAATGCATGCATGACTGTCAGCTCTCAGCTCACTCTCTCCTTTTCACTCAGTCCAGGGTCCAGCACAGGACATGGGACCAACCACAACAAGGGTAGGTCTTCTAATTCTATTAACCCAATTAAGAAATTCCCTCACAGTCAAAGAAACCACAAGACCTACAGAGAAAACTAACCTGGGCCCATGCGTGGACTGGACCTAGGCCCTCTACCCATTTGTAGTAGATGTGCAGCTTGGTCATCACGTGAGTAGCCTAACAATTAGAACAAGCCCTGTCTCTGACTCTATTGCCAGCATTGGATCCCTTTCTACCAGCTGGGCTACCTTGTCTGGTTTAAGTAGGAGAGGATGGGTTTAGTCCTGCTGTGACTTGATGTGCCAGGGCAGGTTGGGATCCATGCGGACCTCCCATTTTCTGAGAAGGAGAGGGAAATAGGGGTAGGTGGTATGAGGGTGGGACTGGGAGAAGAAGATGGAGGGGGACTGTAATCAGGATGTACAATGAATAAATTAATGAAAGAAAAAAGTTATTATCTTTCATTTAAGAAAGAAAATCTGTTACTTCAAAAAAAAAAAAAATCCCTCACAGACACACAATAGGCATTCCTAATCCAGCCAATTCTTTATTAAGACTGCCTTCCGAGCCCCACAAGGAGAGCAACAAAATCAAAAAATCTGGGCCGAGGGGTCTTTTCTGAGACTGATACTCCAACTAAGGACCATGCATGGAATAACCTAGAACCCCTGCCCAGATGTAGCCCATGGCAGTTCAGTGTCCAAGTGTGTATCCTAGTAAGGGGAACAGGGACTGTCTCTGACATGAACTCAGTGGCTGGCTCTTTGATCACCTCTCCCTGAAGGGTTGCAGCCTTACCAGGCCACAGAGGAAAACAATGCAGTCAGTCCTGATGAGACCTGATGGGCTAGGGTCAGATGGAAGGGGAGGAGGACCTCCCCTATCAGTGGATGGGGGAAGGGGCAAGGGAGGAGATGAGGGAGGGAGGGTGGGATTGGGAGGGAATGAGGGAGGGGGCCACAGCCGGGATATAAAGTGAATAAATTGTAATTAATAAAGGAAAATTTAAAAAAGAGTTCTGTAAGGACTAGAGAAGTGGATCGGGGTTAGAAGTGCTTAGTGCTCTTGCAGAGAACATGAGTTCAGTACCTAATTCTCCAGCTCCAGGAACTCCTACACACTCTCACCGCTGCACACACACTAAATGCATATGAATAAAAATATAAAAAGTAAATCTTTTTTTAAAAAAAGATATATGTAAATACTATTTGCCTATAACATAAGTAAAGAAAATGGCAATATAATTCTAGGTTTTATATAATAGCTTCCCAAATATCAAAAGTTATTACTTCAAGATGGTAAAAAGGGAAGAGGCCAGTACAATAAATATCTATACTCTGTCCAGTGTACAGTGTTCAGTGTACAGTGTAAGTGTTCATGCATTTTATTTTAGATAAACAGAAAAAAAAAAAGACTGCCTTTCCAAATGATTGCAGATTGTCAAAAATCACCACCATACCCAGTATTTGTACCAGGTATGTATACACACACACACACACACACACACACACACACTAACACACACACAGCAGAACCTCCTTCCCAACATAAAAGCTAAAAATATCTTATTCTCATTTTCCTGATCTAATTTTATTTTAAAACTAGGACACACATCTAGGTCACAGGCTTAAATGGTAGCCTTTCAAAGAAACAGAGAACATTAACACTTCATGCTAGTGAGGACACCAGCAGAACTAGAGGGCACTCTTCCCAAGGACAACAGACAGAAGCAGAAATGAGAGATCCAAGAGGTCTGACGAATAAAGCATATGCTTGAATACAAAGCAAGGACAATCTGAGGTACCTGACTTCCTCATCTGGATGGCAAGGACACTAGCAAACACTGATTCAGTTAATGTCTGTATAGTTCTTAGAGTGGCATGAGAGGGATTTCTGGCGCCTCTACCTTCACCATCATCATCATTGGATGGCCCTGTATGGCCTCAATAATTCTCCTACAACCCCAACTTTTAAACTGCACCTACCTAATTAGGTAAGTAAAATAAATGCATTGTTACTTATGAGTTTACCTCCTGGTGCAGTTCTGTCAATATTCACTTTAGCTATGCATTTGTAACTAAAATTAGATTGTTCAGGTAAATTTCACCTTTGAAAAGTACTGACCAAAGGACAATGCAGCCAGTCCTGATGAGACCCGATAGGCTAGGGTCAGATGGAAGGGGAAAAGGATCTCTCCTATCACTGGACTTGGGGAGAAGCATGAGAGGAAAAAAGAGAGGGAGGGTGGGATTGGAAGAGGACTAGGGAGGTAGCTACAGCTGGAATACAAAGTGAATAAATGGTAATAAAATTTTTAAAATAAATGAATAAATAAAAATCAACAAAAAAGAAAAATACTGAGCAACACTATTTCTAAATTACTTTTTAACTCAACACGTTTCTTGTGTATCAGCTTTTAAAATTGATAACATTTTAATCCTAGTTTTAAGGTTACAGAAGAGCTGAGAAGGCAAGGGGCTTTTACACACCAAACGATGAAGAGAAGAAGCACTTTCCTACCAAGATTTCAGGTAGTTTGCTTCCCTGTGTGCATTTACTAGATCTCAGCAATGTCTAAAGAATGGCTTTGACAAGGATTAGTCCACCAGAAAGTGGAATTAACGGAGCTTTTCAAGATCGCATAGACTACAACAGAAGAATAAAAACCAGGGAAGTTAAAACCACAGTTGATGCTTACTATGGAGCATTGAAAAAAAATAAATAAATAAAAGCCACAACTGGAAAGAAGACTGAGGTCTGAAGGGCAAGAGAGTAATTTCTTCTGAAGATAAATGGTTCTCAGGATCCATATTATAGCAAGGGCCAAGTACATACTGTGTTGAGTAGCTTTATGTCAACTTACACAAGCTAGAGTCATTTGGGAAGAGGAACTCTCTATTTAGAAAAATCCTCCATAAGACTGGCCTGTAGGCAAATCTGTAGTGAATTTTCTTAATTAGTGATTGATGTGGGCATGTCCAGTCCATTGTGGGTCGTGCTACCCCTAGGCAGTGGTCCTGGGTACTGCAGGACTGCAGACTGAACAAGCCCTGAAAGCAAGCCAGTAAACAGCATTCATCTATGACCTCTGCTTCAGTTCCTGCTTTGAGTTCCTGTCCTGACTTTCCTGGATGACAAACAAGCCCTAAAACGAAATAAGCCCTTTTCTCCCAAGTTGATTGTGGTCGCATTCTCTTAGCACAACAATACAAACTCTTATTACGACAGATACTAACTTCTTCCTCAAGAGGGTTCCCATATTTTGAATATGAACAGCGTAGAAAACTAAAAAGTATAGCTGAAAATATCCAAAAGACTGTTGCAGGCAGAAGAGAAAGAGATCTTTAGATGCCAGATATAAAATCTAGATGGAAAACTGGAAGGACTGAGGGAGGGAACAGAGGAGGGATGTGGAGTCTTAAAGGTAGACTGTAGAATCCAGAGCACTTGCTTAGGAGTTCTGGTGGTTTGAAGTGGAATGGCCCACATAGGTTCATATATCTGAATGCTTAGTCATTAGGGAGTGGTTCTCCCTGAGAGGATTAGGTGGTGTGGCTTTGTTGGAAGAAGTGTGTCTTGGGGGCAGGCTT